TGAATGTCATTATCATTAGGTAGCATTAAATGTCTTGTGGACTTAATTTCACGCTTTAATTAATTTGCAATTACTCTTTTTAATTCCAGGGTAGATATTAGTCTAATGCAAAACAAATTGATGGGTAAGTGTTTTAATTTGGTATTATTAATGGGTTGAAAAAAACAAAACTTGATGATTAATGGGAAGCACCTTTAGTAAAAAATTATGAAAAGTAAAGTTTTAAAATAGTTTCTTCATAAAAACTTTGTGCTACTATAATTTACTTTCAGAATACAGAACGATGTATCAACACCTCCAGTTACTTTAATGCAACGTTTATTATATATAAGTTGAAACGTAAACAATTAATATCACAGTCACATAGTCACTTGATACCTCTCTCTACCTTATTTACTTGTAAAGATTCATCTCTCTTCTTTCTCTTCTTCTCTTTCTTCTTGTGTTGCAGAGATTAGTCAGAAACTTGTTCATGCTATGTAAGAATCTTGCATCCAAACCTTCCTTAATTTGAACATTTTAATCTTCTTATTGGCTCTTGTTCTTTTGATTATTCTCAGTCAAATATATAGACTTTGATGTTTTAGTTTATGCTCCATTCCCTTTTGAATGTGTTGCAGAAGAAAGTTTTACAGAATCAATGGAAACAAACCAGTGGCGATCGAAGAAAAAGATAGAATCTGCAGCAGAAACACTCCAAGGTGGTGCTACTAGAAGAATCAGAGGACAGGTAAAAAGAAATTTTTGCAGAAATAGTCAAAGTTTGCTTTTAAAATGTTCTCTGTTTTCTTGAGATCGTTATGGGCTCATGTTCTGACTATGTATTGCTTGTGAACTTTCTAGAGCTTGGTAAATGTCTTTTAAGTTTTAAGTGATGTATTTGTGATTTGGTTTTGGTATTTAGGCACGTATGGTTCCTCCAGGAAATATAGTTAGACCTGAGAGAGCTCGAAAGAGTCTAAACGAGAAGCTAGAAACTGTGGCCATCAACTCTCCTAAGAAAGATTATCGTGTGAATCTTTATGGTGAAAAAGGTGTAGCAGATGAGATTTTCTTGAAAGATGAAGGAATGGGTCTTGGAATTGGGTTGGGGACTGGAGATTCATCGCCTTTTTCTGGTGTATCGGATAAGCTTCTGCAGCGTATCGAGCTTCTTGGAAGAGACCATGAGGCAAAGAGACTCGATAACAACAGTGTCAGGTCAACTGAGACTAGGAAAGAGAGACAAGAAGAGTCTGCATATGATGATGTTATTGAGATGAAGCAAAAGATTCAAACTTTAGCCGCCGAAAACTCTCAGCTTAAGAAGTCGCTTGTGGCGAAAGAAGAGCTCGCGGTAAGCCTACAAGAGCGTAAATCTCAGGTGGAATCAGAATTCGAAGGGTTGATGAGTAGATTGGATTTAACTGAGAAAGAAAACGCGTTCTTGAGATATGAGTATACTGTTCTTGAGAAGGATCTTGAGGTGAAAACAGAGGAAACAGAGTATACTCGCAGGTCTATGGAGCTTACGCATAAACAACAACTTAGAAATGTTAACAAGATTGTTGAGCTTGAAGCTGAGTGCCAAAGGTTAAGACTTCTGTTTCGAAAGAAGTTTCCAGAGAGGACTATATCCATCAGGAAT